TGCTTGTAAATCCTGTAATCTTCGATTCCGAGCTAAAGGCAATAAAACTAACCAGCAACTTGCTTGGACTTTAGGTGATGTTCCTATTCCCTGCCCTGATTCCTGTAATCATCTAGGAATTATTCTTAACAGAAATTGCTCATTAAGGACCCTCTATCGATTAAATGCTGCCTGCACTGCCCTGCAGGAAAGGAAGAAACTCCTTTTTTTTTTCTCACAGATATTGAATCTCCCTACCTTAATCCATTAACCATAGTTTATCTCTACAAATCTGACCCTGGGTCCATGAATTTCATAATTTTGGTAGAGGGCTCAATGCTTATTACAGTCATGCCAACAGTTTAACTACTTGATGTCCAGGAGTAAAGAAGAAGTCATTTTAGCTCTACTGATCAGAGACCAAAAGAGCTTATTGAATAATATGATAGTAATTAAGGTGTCCATCATCCATCCGTCTGCCTAACTGTCCATCTGTCTAGTTTTCTAAAATGCTACTCCTCCTACAGTTTTAGTCTGACTTCAATTTAAACTTGGCACACAAGTAGACTACACAAAGATGCATGATTCAGTGCATTGGTTTTTGATTTCAATGAATGGTGTTTCCATGGTTACAAAAATAGAAATTTCTGTGAAATATTTTCAAAAGCTACTCATCCTACTGTTTTGGTCTGATTTCAGTATAAGTTATAATTGGCACACAAGAAGACTACACCAAGATACATAATTCAGTGCTGCTGCAGCATTGGTTTTTGATTTTATTGAACGGTGTTGCCATGTTACTAAAAATAGACATTTTGGTGAAATTCTTTCAAAACGCTACTCCTCCAACAGTTTTAGTCTGATTGCAATAAATCTTGCCACAAAGAGACTAAACCAAAGACCTTTATTCTATTTATTGTTGTTGCATAATTTCAAGTGCAAGTACTACTAATTTCTCTTCCTTTATTATAAGTACAAACCAGTAGAGCTACAGTCTCATTAGAGACTTCTGGTTAGAGATTGCACTCATTTTGATGGTTCTGGCCCCACCCCTAAGGCCCCAAGGGGGCAGGGACCATGAAATTCACAATTTCACAATTTTTGTTCCCCTTCACTCATAGATGCTCTATGCCAAAATTGGTTGAAATTGGTTCAGTGGTTGCACAGAGAGAAGCTGAAAATGTACAGATGTTAATGTACGACACACGACAATGGACGGAAACGGATAGCAATAGGTCACCTGCGTGACTCAGGTGACCTAAAAAGTCCTCTCAATACCATTATAAAAATATGTTCAATTTAATATCATTTATAAAGGTGATTTTGGGAAAATGTAGGCCTGTTTCACTGATCAATATAATAGATGTTTGCCATAAACAAATCTTAAGTCATCATAATAATGTGTACTAAACCATGCGCATGTATATATCAATTTATTATTGCATTAATATTTCCCTAATATTTTTTTTTAATATTTTTCACCAATCGTATAAGAATTTGATAAAATATTCATCTTATTTAGTTTGGTTTTAAGAATTATACAGACTGTGGTCGACGTTTTTAGCTCACCTGTATGGCAAGCCCTTTTACTATTATTTTATTCGTAAAATAATTTTTTCTTTCAATAAGAGAGATGTCTCTTTAGCTTAGAGAGATATCTCTTTAGCTTACAGAGATATCTCTTTAACTAAAAGAGATATCTCTTTGACCAAGAGAGATACCTCTTTGTCTAAGAGAGATATCTTTATAAACTAGAGAGATATCTCTATAAACAAAAGAGATATCTCTTTTTGCAAGAGAGATATCTCTTTTACTTAGAGAGATATCTTTCTAAGTTAGAGAGATATCTCTTAAAGCGAGAGAGATATCTCTTAAAGTTAGAGAGATATCTCTTTAACAACATTAAAAGAGATATCTTTCGAAGTAAGAGAGATATCTCTTTAGATTTTCAAAAAGAGATATCTTTCTAAGTTAAATAGATATCTCTCTTAATGAAAGAGATATCTCTTTTCACGTGAATATAAAGCTTACTTCCGGTAAAGGGAGAAGTCATTAAAAATGCTTTTTAAATAAATATAATGTAGAGAGATATCTCTTTACAGTGAAGAGATATCTCTTTTTGCTTGAGAGATATCTCTTTTTGACACTTTTGAAAGATATCTCTTTCACTTTGAGAGATATCTTTTATGATAAACTTAGAGAGATATCATTTTTACTTTGAGAGATATCTCTTTAACTTGGAAAGATATCTCTCAAAGTAAAAGAGATATCTTTCTAGGTGAAAGAGATATCTCTCTAAGTGAAAGAGATATCTCTTTAACGCTAAGAGATATCTCTCTTAACAAAAGAGATATCTCGTTAAGTGGAAGAGATATCTCTTTAAGTGAAAGAGATATCTCTCTAAGTGAAAGAGATATCTCTCTAAGTGAAAGAGATATCTCTCTTAGTGTAAGAGATATCTCTTTCTTAGAGAGATATCTCTTTAAGGAGGTTGGATCCTGTCATCAAAAGTAATGAGAATTTTTTATCAAGTATATTTTTAGAATTTATACACATAGCTTTATTAAAAAGCAAAACAAAAAAATGGGGGTCAATGCGCTTCTTTTGGCGCTACAGAGCATTTAGTTTGACCTTTTTGCACTGAAAATACATCTTACACATAAATCAATTTTTAAGTTTTTCCTTCAATATTTTTTGTTCAAATAAATTATGGGAACAAAAACAGTCTTATTTTATCTTAAATAGACACATTAAAATTTGTGACAACGAAGAAATTTTCAAATAACTCCGCATGTTCAATTATTTGACCTTTTTGCACTCAAACATTTTCATTTTTCTGGCATTAAAAATTTAACAAGCAAAAAAATCATTTGAAAGTAATGACATTTTACTGAATTTAAGAAGATTGGTAAAGAGTATTGTATATATTCAGAAAAGAAAATTAAAAGTGGGGGTCTGTGATGTTAATTTTTAGATATTACTAAAATAGTGCTAATTTTAAGCTTAAATTAGGGCTTTTTTTTTCTTCATTTTCACAATTTATTTGGTATATTTATCAAATATGATGATAGAATTCATGACAGTTTATTTAATAGATAATTTAGGACCAGTATAAAACAGTAAAAAATAACTATGTGTGCAGACTGCATGTAAAAATAGGAATCCAAACTTAACATACTTTAGACACTTCGAAAGAGAAAAAATGATCATTTTCTTCTAAAAAACCTTCCGCCACAAAATATAGTTCCTCACTTAATGCTTTTGGTATGGAATTCAATCATGGAAATTTAACTGAATATAGTTAAATTGGCATTGTAGAATCCAAATTTATTGTAAGAATTAAAACACTATGGAGAATTTTTGAAATATAGGTTAAGATAAAAATCTGCTCAAAAGCTCAGGAGCGAACCTCGTTAAATTTGAGAGATATCTCTGTTTTTTAAGAGATATCTCTCTAAAATAATTAAGAGATATCTCTGTAATTTTGAGTGAAAATTTATTTTACGAATAAATAGTAAAAGGGCTTGCAATACACCTGAGCCGAAGGCTCAAGTGAGCTTTTCTAAATGATCAAAATTTTCCATTAATTGCATGTCTGTCGTCATGTAAACTTTTCACAATTTCGACTTCTTCACAAGAACCACTGGACCAATTTCAACCAAACTTGCCACAAAGCATCCTTGGGCGAAGGGAGTTTAAGTTTGTTTTAAGGTATCCGATCCATGCATGATAGCCTCAGATTCAATGAATCTGAATGCATAACAGATATATGTTGGCTGAATACTCAGTATATGTAGACATAATCTTCATGTTTTAGTATCAATATGTAAAAGCGGAATGTGTCCTAATTTTTGACCTTGTCCTGTCCTTGAAGAGTTATCCCCCTTTGCTTTTATTCAATAAAAATCAATTCAAAAAAAAAATCTATCTGGTAAAAAATTAGTTTTCAGTTGTTTTTCTATTCCTATAATAATTAAATACATCTTTCCACCAAAGCATTTTTTGATATTCTTAGTATATAAATTTTTATTTTAAAAAAAATTGCTTGTCCCCATAGACCTCAATGCATTCTTCATTTATTTTATTATATTATTACTACTTAGGTAATTATAATTTTGAAAATTTCTCCTGGTAAATCCTTAAAGTTTCTACTCTAAAATGATTTGATTTAATTTCCGAGTATTTAATACAGGATGGATATTTAATATTAGAAAATTAGGTCCTTTTATGGATCGGATACCTTAACAGACCACACCCTCTTTTAAGGGGAGATAATTAAGAATTCCTGAAAATTTGGTGGCATATGCATCTTTTAAAAATCTTCACAAGAACCACTGCAGGGCAAGAAAAGATGAAACTTATGTGAAAGCTTCATTACATAGTCTAGATTCAAATTTGTTCATATCATAACCCCCGGGGTTAGGGCGGGGCCACAAGAGGGTGTCGAAGTTTTACATAGTCAGTGTGTTCCATGGGTTTTTCTCTGAATTTAGTTTAACCAATAAATGATGCGTTCAATTTAGCTTTAAATTATTATTCCTTTGAAATGTCAAATATGACAATAAAACAAGCCATATATATAACAGTAAATGTAAATAAAAATCAAGTATTTAACTGTCTATATACATCGAAAGAACACCAATTTCCGAGAGTCTCCAATTCACAAAATTTTGACACTTTGCGTTTTATAGCCGCACCTTGACGGAGGGAATTTTTTTTGTTAAATGATGTAAGAGTAAATCAAATCAATGAAGCATTAAGTGTCCTTGCGTAAAAAAGGTTAGAAAATCACTATTGCAGATATTTAATAATAATATGTAAATGAAAATGGATTGTTTTGACCCTATATACCCACAAAACAACCTCTTTCGTAACGTAAGTTTCCATCATTGAACATATGATCATACGTCGACCTCGTGAACAAGTCGTGAAATGTTTTCATTATTATGAATGTATCGGACATCTAAGGTCTAAGATTAAAATTACGAAATTTAATTTTAGTTTGCCACTAGAACTTGTTGCTTAAACTAACAGTGAATGAACGCCGTCGTAAACTATGGAAACGTTTAAGGTGTAATAAGAAAAAACGAACCATGAAATTAAGGGTGCTTTATTTAAACTGTAGGAAAAACGTTGGATATGTTAGAAGGTTCCAAGGAAGTTGGTGTCAGCTAAAAGTAGCCCATATGTCATCAGTGAAACCAAAACCAGTGGAGGTCATTGATTTGACTGAAGACACAACGACAAATGAACCCCCACCTCCCCAGATAAACAAGGGGAAGTTTGTGAATTACAAGTCTCCCCATCACACTGACAATGGACCAACCAATGGAGGATTTGGTAACAGAGTAAATGCAGTTGAAAATTCAAATATCAACACTATGTTTAGACCTTTGCCAACTCTGAAACAAGCAGGGCAAGTTGTGAGACATTTCAAGAGAGTCAATAAACCTGTGCAAACTCTGGGAGAGGGACCTATTGCACCAGGATGTAAACAAAACACAGAAGCACAGTCAATGAGAGAGAGGAGTCTTACAGAAAATCCTCAACTGAAAAGATCTCGTACTGAGCAATCATTTGAACCAGGTATGAATTTTATTAAAGTTTCTGAAATTCAATGTTATCTTAATAACCATTTGTTTTAGTAGGAATGTATTGATTTGCTTGATTTAACTTGAAATTTATCAAGACACATGTCGACTCCCACTGCGGGATGTGGAGGCCCGTCAATCGGATGAGACCGTATAAACCGAGGTCCCGTAGTAGATGCTGGCACGAACATGACGAAAAAGATCTCTCACTGCTCAATGGCCCTGAGTGCCGAGTATAGATCAAAATTTGTAGCCCTCCACCGGCAGGTGTTGGCATCTCCATATGAGTGAATAAGATGTGTTTGTGTAACACTATGCCCATGATGGTAACACAATTCTGGAGTGGGACGTAGACTACAGTGCAATAGTTATGGCCAATGTTAAAGTTTTTCAAATGTAGGTCAAAGGTCACAGTTGAGGTCACAGGATCAAATATTTCTGTACCAATGGAAAGGTCTTGTCATAATGAACACTCATGTCAAATATTAAAGCCTTACCCTTGACAGCGCAATAGTTATGGGCTAGGTTAAAGTTGACAAAGGACAGACAAACAGACAGACAGGACAAAAGCAATATACCCCGGGATCTATCAATCCGGGGCATAAAAATTCTCGAGAGGGACGTTACACAACAAACAATCATTGATACATATATGTACATTTTACATTTGCAAGGTATCCTGTAAAATCAGCACTCCAGCACAGCCTGGATCAGTTTAATATGAAATAGACATGTACTTTATGGCTAGGGACATAAGTGTGGTTATAGTTCAGGACGTAATTTGTGACAGAGCCAGGACGGATCAAACTAAATCAGAAACCACAAATATACTGAGTAAAGGAAGCCTGCATACTCATAGTAAAGAAGAGACACGTGGATATGATTTCTATACATCCTGATAAAGAAAACACATCCTTTTTTAGTCATATCTGGAACAAATAATAAACCAACATTTTACACTACACAGTAACAATACAGGCACTTTTTTTTTTTTTTACATTTCATTGGCATAATATCAAAATTGCTTGCAATATGAATAACAATACAGTTCAATTTTATATCTGAATCATTGATTTAACTAAAAATAAATGAACACCGTGGAAGAAGTTTCAATGGCTTTTTCTTTAATTATATGTATTTCAATCTCTGTCTGCTGCCTTTGGATATCTTAAAAGTTTTCTTCCTAATAAATATCCTCTTTGTCCTGTCAAGTACAAGATATGGTTTGACTCTATAAATAGACAAAAATATTTTGCTGTACTTTTGTAGGTTCTTGTTTTGGTAAGAGGGAATGGGAGTTAACTCCCTTTGGAAAGGAATATCAAGAAAAGAGCCAAGAGGGGCTTCCCTTCTCTCTCATGTCGTACAACGTGCTGGCTCAGGACCTTCTCTATGATAACCAGTACCTCTACAGAAACCATCCAGAGCAGGTTCTGGATTGGGAATTCCGCAAACAGAAACTGTTACAGGAATTTAATGACCACCGACCTGATGTGAGTTATCATTGTGGCGTGCATTTAATGGGATTATCAATATTAAGAGATAAATTGTAGAATTTTAATTTGAAATTATTAAACTTCTCTGGTACTATTCAGTAAATTGATACTTAGCATTACTCAGCACTAGCAGTGTAGAATTACAAATAGTACAGGTGGAGTAGGGTTTTAAGGAGAATTGTTTCTTTAAATCAGTTATTTGCCCAGTGGTTTTGATGAAAGAAATAGGCATGCTCTTGGTCAAGAAAAGTACACCTTTCAAATCAGAAAAAATGAGTGGGATAGAGTAAGGAAACAATAAACAGTCTTATCATTTCAATCTTATCTCAATAAAATTGAGTCAGATAAGCTTTTGGTAAACCCTCAGCATCTGCCTCTCAGCTTTAAGTTTTTAGCTTACCTGGGCTGAAAGCTCATGTGAGCTTTTCTGATCACCATTGTCCAGCATCTGTCTAGCTGTCTGCCTGTTTGTCCATCCAAGGGGATTCCAAGTTGTACATATGAAAGGCCAAGTTCCCTTCCAGTTACTCAGGTGAACATTGTGGCCCAGGGACCTCTTATTTAGAAAGTCTGTTATCCAGGAAACATAACTATACCTTGACCAATTTTACAGGGATTGTACATGTAGAAATGTCTACTACTGGTCTTGCTTTGCTAATGATGTTTAACACAGTTTTTTTTAGCCCCACCAAGACCAAACTTGCAAGGATAATGTGTCAATAGATTCTAACTACTAGGTGTGCTTCAGATGCTAGTGTTGAAAGTTCTATATTTTCTGTTTAAAAGGAAGGTTAAAGTTCTTGAGAAAGGTTCATTCCTAAAATCTGTGTAAAGCCCTATGTGGAGCAAACCTGTATTGAGGATGGATCTAGGGATGATTGCTTTCAGAATGTTGTAGAAAGTAGATGCTGCATCTGACCAAACTTTACAGTCAGAAATGCACACAACCAGACATGAATTCTCAAGTAACTAACATCTGGTATAAGACTTTTCCTTACTTATAGAAAACATTCCTAAAGATGAGCTTTATAATCTCTGTTTATTACCTATAAACCTATATTTTATCAAATTACAGGTTTTATGCTTGCAAGAGGTTCAGAAAAGCCATTTAGAAGAGTTTTACAGACCACAGCTGAAGGCATTAGGTATGCAGTATATGCCTGTTTTTGTTATGTCATAATTTATGATAGCATTGCTTTGAAAATTAAATAATTATCCTTTAAGTCTCATTATTTTTCTCTACATTGAAAACTTATTTTTTTAAGGATATGAGTGCGAGTTCCTACAGAGAACAAGTGGAAAAGTGGATGGCTGTGCAACATTTTACAAGCGGGGAAAGTTTCGCATGGAGGAGGTCAGACATGTTCATTATTTCCAAGTAGGTTCCCCACTTACAAACCGTGACAATGTAGGTCTCATTCTGAAACTTGCTCCTCTAAATGGACAAGAAGGAGTCTGTGTTGCTAATACTCATCTGCTCTACAACCCAAAACGAGGGGATATTAAACTTCTACAGCTGGTGAAACTCCTAGCTGAACTGGATCACATGGTTCCAGATTTTCAAACTGTTCCCATCATTTTGTGTGGCGATTTCAATGCCCGTCCTCATAGCTTCATGTACAAATTCATTTCCCAGGGCTACCTGAGATACCATGGACTACCTTTAGAAGACATATCAGCGCAGCGGTTTGGAGGTGGAAGAAAGTTACTGAATACAGGTCTGATCCCCTCAAACTTAACCATTTCAGATCAGTGTCATTACCTGGAGGATCATCATGTAGAAAAGCTGAGGAAAAGCCCCGTGTTACAAGGACAATTCTACAGCTACCAAAGTTCACCGTACCATCATTTTCATTTTCCCAGTGTTTCACAAAACTCAGGCTTTCTGTGGCATAGGTTTCATCTAGTCTCCACATACTCACATTTCATAGAAAGAACTGGGGAACCAGAGGTGACCACACAGTCCAGTGCTTCTGATAGCTCCGTGGTAGACTATGTGTTTTATTCTGTGTTAGGAAGAGAATGCAAGTCCAGGAGGGGAAATTTCAACAATAGGAACATTATTGAGGGAAGGATAAAATTGCTAGGACGTTTGGGACTACTGTCAAAGAAAGAAATAAGTGCAGCTGGAAATTTGCCAAATTATCAAAATCCATCCGATCATATGCCATTAATGGTGAAATTTCTCTTAACATGATGTCATGCCAGTATTACCTGTAAATACTGAATCTCAAACAGAACAAGGGCATTATTGTATAAATGTTCAGGATTTGATTATTGGGAAGTTGAAAATTCCTTACATTGTTTATACCAGTAGTTGATTGGAAAATGAAAAACTTTGAGGATGCCTGTGGTGTAAATGTGAATTCAAGCTGTTATTGAGCATCATTACAATATACCAAAGAATAGCTTAGATTAATTGAATTAAAGTTTTTTAAAACTTGATTTTTTTTTCTTTTTTTACTTGAATAATGTTTTCCCCAAACAGGATGGAGATGTAATGCAGGGCTTACAATAACATTGAAATAAAGAGGTGAATTAATCCATATGAAGAGGCTGTTTTAGAATTATTCACAATAGTTTACTTTGCCACATGAAATTTGAAGCTGTGAATTCTAATCATTGAAAAGGTTATAAATCGCCTCTTGCTGCCCCTTATTGAAAGCCCCGTAATGGTTTTTAGCTCACTGAGCTAAAAGATCAAGTGAGCTTTTTAGCTCACCTGAGCCAAATGCTCAAGTTACATTGAAATATATAAGATAAATCTCAAGAACCACTGGACTAGATAAGGTGAAACTTACATGGAAGCTCCTTAGGAAGTGTAGATTCTTAATTGTTCAAATCATGGACCCTGGGGTTATGGTGGGGCCACAATAAAAGATGCAAGTTTTACATTGAAATATATACTAAGAAAAATCTTCAAAATTCTTCTCAAGCAAACTCACCAAACAGCAAGGCCATGATTAGTCATAATTTTTTTTAAGCATTCTCGAGTAGTGTAGCCTAGGTATAAATTTGTTCAAATCATGACCCCCAGTGCTAGGGTGGGTTCATAATATGAGATCATACATTTTATATTAGAATGAACAGCAGAGCCAGTGACTCAGGTGAATGTTGTAACCCATGGACCTCTTGTTTTTCAAAGATTTTCATTCCATCATGTATTGAGTCTGGAGCCATGGACTAGTATCCAGTCTTCAGTATGTTGTTTTTCTTGACAGTGTAATGATGTGGATTGAATGTCATATCTCAACCATAAAATCATCTCAAAGATCAGGTCATGAGATGTCAGATTTGTCTCCAGACATGGTTTGCAACTAAATGAATTAAACTTCAATGCGTTGTCCAAAGCTTATAGGTTTGTCAAGCTTATATCTCTGAAAGGTCAAGAATGAAGATCACTTGGAAATGCTATTAATCATGAATTACATCTTGTCTTTAACTTTGGAGGGTGCAAATTGTTGCTTACATCCCAAAGAAGTGATAATTTCTCAGTTCAATGACACACAATTCAAGTTTACTGCTTATAGAGATGCTGAAATACTTTGATTGGTGGGGGGGGGGGGGGGGGGTAATCCAATTTTTGGACTTTGGATTCTTACGGTCTCACAATAATATATTTGTCCTCTGGGCCAACTTTAAAAGAATGTTTGCCCTCTCCCGACTCGGGATGAAAAAAGTTGGGATGGTAGGTAGGTGGGAATTTTTTTTCTCATAAAATTTCAACATCAATGCTGGATTTTTCAAAATCTATTTCCCGTTATGCTTAAAAATATAATTTATTCTGGAGGATAAAAAAGTTTTGAGTCGGGCCATATTTAGCCAACAGGTCGAGAGAGGGCAACCAAACAATTTTTTTAAAGATGGCCCTAGCCTGTATGTTTGTTTTATGTCTCATCAATAAAATATTATTTCACATGAAAGATATGTTGTTTTCAGAGTTTTGCAATTGCTATTTAGCATTTTGGCTTCTGTTTCTATTGGTTAAGGTGAATTTGAAAAACCTGAAGTTATTCAAGTTATGTTGTTTTATTTTCAATTAATATTATATGCATGCACAATAGTATAAAACACACAAGTAAAAATATGATGCATTCATCATATATCACAGATACTGTTAGAAAATGTCATGTCTTGTAATAAAGTTGACTGTTCTCAAATGCATTTTAAAAAAAATGTATTTGTTTCTTATCTACAGAGAAAAATACATGTACCTTCAGGTCAAGTATTAAATACATGTACAAGAAGTTACCATAAATATTGAAAAAGCACACTACAGCACCAAAATTGAGTTGAAATGTGCTTGATAATTACAGTCAAGTTACACACACTGTAACTTTGTACTGGTAGTAGTTACATCTTTGTCACTGTTGCTGGAACTCCTGATATGTCACTAGAAACCTGATGAAACACTGTAATTCTTTATTAAGAAATGCACAATGTATGGAAAGGCTGACATGTTGACAGATAATTCTTTTCCTTAAGTGAAGACTATAGAACTGGTGATGTGTGATGGCTATATACGAAGCTGGTAGTCTGAGGAGTCCAGAGTAGCAGAGGTCTGAGATCTCTTTTTTGTCCCAGAGTCAGAGGGAATAGATGTGTATCTGTAACAGAAAACTCACCATTTAACAACGAAAGCTAATTTTCCTATCCATTTTATTTTGCACAGTCATTCAGAAACATCTGAACAAAACAGAGCAACATCTATGTAAAAAAAAAATACTTTGTCATTCAGATGATAAGCTCTTCAGAATCCTATTCTAAATAGCTTATAAATGTCAAACAAGGAAATTGACCTCAAATTTGAAATCTGAAGTAGGAGAAATGGTACATATTTACGTATGCACCAAACTTGCATGGCTGATGAACAATATGATAAATATACAGTCAAACCTCGCTATCTCGAACTCGATAGGACCAAGAAAAAACTTCGAGATATCCGAGTATTAAAGATATCAAGGGTAAAAATGGTTAAAGAAGTAGTGGTTGGGACTTCCAAATCACTTCAACATTTCCATAGTATTCGAGATATCAGTGTTTGAGATACCGCAGTTCAACTGTATTAAATTTTTTAAAGTTTTTACTTACGCCCGGTATATCTTTGTGGCTTGCTGTAGACTGCTGCGAAGATCTCGAGGGACCTCTGTAGAAGATTTTCTGGGAGACTGGAGAGTTATGGTCCAGGATTTGGCCTGTAATTTATAGTCCAGTTAGAAGAGTTCAGAAATCAAAAATCCTATGTTGATTCATTTGTTTAATTGATCCAATATATTCTTGTGTACATTTTAGCACAGAAAATACCCATTATATATTATTACATTGTAAATAAAATTTCTGTCACTTTCATGTAGTCAAATTTTCATTATTTATGGTAATAACTTTGGTTTGTGGGGTTTTGATTTCATGATTGAAGAAGTTTGATATATAGATTTGATACTGTAAATGTAGCTTGTACTTTTAACATCTCAAAGAGGACATGAATTTATGGATTGATCTCTTCATTGCAAAGAAATAATGAAACCACCACGACAGTTAGTGATTTCAAGATACTTTGCATGCTATAAAATTAGAAAAGCAGAGAGCATTATCAGAGAAAAAAATATTTTGCTGCACCTTAATAATGAAATTAATTTTCATAGGGAAAACAAAGTCTGTAAATTTATTTGCAAGCTATAGTTTACAAGAGCATGGTCCAACAATATATGGGCAACAATAATGTATAAATTCCACAGCCTTTGTAAAATATATATATATATATATATAAATAATTAAATATATATTTTGATACATAATATTAAGTCTCACCAAAACAGCTTAGCAAAACTTGATTACATGTATTAGCAAAATGATCACTACATTCATAATATTTACAAATGCATATAGACACAAAGCTATAAATGTAGCACCCACTGTCAAAGCTTAAAAGTTCAAAAACAAGAGGCAAGAATCAGCAACATTTTTTTTTCTTAAAAACATTTTTAAAATCAGGTTTAGCAGCACATTTATTTTTACCTGGGATCTTGTTGAATACAGTTTGACCTGTGGCAGGTCATACTGTGCCTGACCCTAGACAGGAATTATGGGTTTAAATTAAAATCTGTTCAATTTAGCTATTATTCACCTTATCACTAACTGCAGTCAAATGTTCTAGATTTTAAATTATACATGTTTAAAATAATTTGCTTGATGAATTAACCTTAATTTCCTAGTTATAACATAAGTTATTTTTATTTGCATCTTGACACTAATGGACTTAGTCATAAAGAGACATAACCTTCATCATTTTAAACCATGTTTCTATCATGTACACTTGTATAAATGAATCTCGAAGGTGATGCTATGTATGAAATGTCTTCTGTACTAAGACATATGCTGTATACAGGGAAGTTTTTGCCCCCATTTTATTTTCGCCCCTTTTGCCCTACTCACGGGTGAGAGTTTAAAATGGGACGAATTTGAAAAAACACAGTATAATTTCTTAAACAGAACTGTGATCGGGCGAATTTTAATAAAACAGGCAAAATTATTTGCAAGTGTAAAAGGGCGAAAATTACATGGGACTAAAATAACCCTGTATACAGTACTTAAATGGGATAAAAAGGTTCATACATGAGGAGGAATAAAATTATTTTATTGGTTAATTCTAGTCAAAAAAAAAAAGGTAATTCACTAGAAGCAACTAACAGAAAATTGTATGAAGATAGGCAATATCTGATTATATCTTTTTTAAAAAAAATTCTACAGGAAAAATATTAATTTCCTGAAATTGTTAAGCTTACAAATACATGTAATTAAATTCATTATTTACCCTTGTTCTTATTTCTTTGGCCATCATTTCCAGATCTTTGGACATTTCCTTCTTTGACATTTTATTTGGACTAACAGTCACTGCCTATTATTAAAAAATAGGTAATCAATATTATAAAATTCACCTTAACAAATGTTATCTATGAGTATATGTCAACGCCTCACATCAAATGAATATTCTGGTAATGTGCATTCCTAGATGCAACAGCAATGCAAATTTAGCCCAAACAGGTCTTATAGTTTCTTAGAAATAAACCTGCTCCAAAAGCTTTAACTGTTCAATTCACATAAAATTGTAGGTCAGATGCAGCATCTGGTAGTTGCATCCCTAAATGAAACATCCATGCAAGTTTGTCCAGACCAAGCAAGGCTTATACTGACATGGGATTGGACGAACTGAGATAAAAATGAACACAATATAAAAAGTAAATTTTTTATTATTACACGGTCAGTATTATGTACCAAGATCAAACTAACAGCTTAAATTACCTGTCATATTGATTTGAATCAAATGTACTTCCCCAGAGTTTGAATCACAATAATGTCACTTGGGAATGCACATGTATATACAGTCAAACCTCGTTACCTCGAACTCGATGGGTCCGAGAAAGTTTTTGAGATATCCAAGTATTTCAGATATCAAGGGTGAGGTACTTACAGAATAAGTGGTTGGGATTTCCAATTCACTTAACATATCCATGGTATTAAAGATATCAGTGTTCGAGATACCGGAGTTCAACTGTATATCATTAACAAGATTGAATGTGTATAGGCCATCTACTTATTTAGTAGAATATTTTGGATCTATAATATTGGATTAATCAATTAGAAAAAAAAAAATAAAATCTGAGTCATTAGTGATGATACCTTCCAGCTGATGAATTCATAACTATGAGGGTCATGTGGAACGGGCATACCAACTTTGACTTTCTTAACATCGTGCATAACTGAAAAAAGAATTTTTTTTAAACTACCTAACTTATTGACAAATTTTGAAATTGCTATGCATTATGAACTCTACATGTATATCTTCGAACAACAGTCCAGAAACTTCATTACTCCTTTTTATAATATTACATCTTTCCAAATGGTACTTACATTTGTTGTATGACTTTTCGTAATCAAACACAAGATCTGATAAACTCTAAAACAGAAACAATTTTGTTAAATAAATGAAATTAAACATAAAAAGTTGAAAATGTATAAAATTCTACTTTTTTTAGAAGTTAATTTTAGGTTTCATTAGATTCACCTTAAATACTAGAGGTTTGTACATGAGATCTTCCCTTCGACTCATGCCTATTGTTCCATAGCTGCCAGCATAGTAAATTCCCAGGACTACATGTCTATGCACATTTCCCCCAAACACACTTTTAAAACTAAGTGGAAATCTCTCCACACCCAGAAAACCATTTGTTAAGTATCTATGAGGACAGGAGAAGGAATACATATAGACAATATTTCTAATAATGTTATCTGCAATGAAGTTTGTGGCATAAATTTTCAATTTGAAAAAAAATACGGGTACTTATAAAGCAATTATCCAGTTAAAAAAAAACATACATTCCAAGTATGACAGCCTCCAGACATTTGATAGGCAAAGCTTCTTTGATCATTTCCTTTGCAGACTCTAACAATCTATAAACAGAGCATGTATATATTTCATTAAAACTTATAGGTGTAGAATATGGATTGTTTTTGTCAAATATGGTTAATGTTGTAAAACACTTTTTGACTTTTTTAGTTTTTGGTTTGATACATTACCCTGATACAGGTCTGTTTTTTCTTATCTCAAAAAACTGTGTTCCTGTGTGATTATACCTGAAAGGAATGTAAAAATCATCATATTTGGAAAAATCTTTGGTCTCTCTCAAAGTAAAAATTTGAGCTGATATATCAAATTATTGTGAACTGCATTTCATAAATATACAAACTGAAGGGTCCTCATGTAGTTCTGAATTTTATCCAGTCTCTCTGATATTGGAACAGAGGCAGAAAAATTTGTAGGAGCTTGAGGAATTGGAACCTTTTTCAACAAAAATAATAATACATTGTAATATATATTTAAACACGGTCTAATTCTTTTTTCATATGAATATAGACATATATATATGCTCTTCATAACATGTAATGAAAGTCACCATGAAAAACTTGAGATACATGTATGTCAAAAAGATGTTCATAAAGTCAATATTTTTGGCTACCATTGAAAACAAGTTTATAACCAAATGTAGACAAGTTGAAATGATGGATGCATGAGTATATTAAAAGATGTGGGGAAAAGTTGTAGAAACCTCCTTTTTCTGACAACTTATTGCAAAGTATCATGAAAGATGAAAAAAGGGGTTTTTTTTAATGCAAAAACCTCCTCTTCTCTGAAATATACAGCACAAAAATTACTGAAAATACCAATTAACACAATGATTAATATTTACTTTAATCCCTTTAAATATTTGTTTCATTTTCCCTTACTGATCGGAAGATTCATAATAATACATCTTTAAAATAATCACTCACAGATGGTAGATCCTTTTTATCTCGTACTTTGTGTGTCACATCATAACCATCTGGATGTATGCGAGCCACATGTTCCCACATTCTGTCCCATGTTTTATTATCTATGGGAAACCCACTCTTGTTCACCCAGAATAATACTCCATTTTCCTCATGAACATCTTCTTCTTTGCCGGATTTCTTGACTGTCTTAACCCTCACACATGCTGGTCCACCAGATTCTTCTGGCTCCGCCTCGCGGACTAACGTCCCAAATACTGACGTGATTTCTTTCCCTTTGGGTTTTCCCGAGGCCATTAAGGAATATGTGGTTTTCTTAATTCAATCATCCCATTTTTGAAATCAGAAGAGGCAGTCACCTGTCGAATGTTTACATCGTCGTTAATGTTCATCCAGGTCACGGATGATTAAAATTGCAAGCCCTTGCACGTCGAAAGATAAAACGTCTAAATGACTAGAAATATCGTAAATTGTTCCAATGTCGTAAAGTTCTTTGCATTTCTCTCCTTTTAATAATTATTTTCAAATTCCAAGTTCCAAAATGTTTAAATTTTCAATACTTACCCAATAAAACTAAATAAATATATAGAACTTAGAAGCCCTGAACACTCAAAACGCATACAAATTTTACGACAAACGGCAATTCTACAAAAAGGGGCGTTAACCAAAGCTGTTGACAATGTAAACATGAACAAGAAAGTAAAGAAGTTAAACTTCACATATTTTGCTCGTGTCTGGATAATAGTTGTATCGATCGTCAACTTTGGAGATTCTCTACAGTATTTCAAAGACAATTCTCTATTATCAAGGCTTATATATACCCAAACACCACACTATGGTAAAATATTTTCTAGTATGACTGCAGTTCTTTTTTAAGAAGTTTAATTACTAGTGCAATTCATGTTTCTTTTATTTTCTGCAGCTAATCCTGTATTTGGAAGGATTTATGGGATATTTAACTTTCTGCTGGCAGCTCTGAGATTTTCCTGTGCCGTTGACATTCACAACAAAAGGTTTAACCCCCCTTCCAAAAAATAAATAATAATTTCCAGACGTCACATTTAATATGAATCGGTATTGAATAAAAATACAACTGAATGGAATATATCTTATTTTACAGCCTTTATAATCTGACTCTCCTATCATTTGCTTTAACTTTTGGAAACACATTTACGGAAGTAGTTGTATTTAGGACAGCAAGTGTCAATTTTGCAATCCTATCCAACCTTGCACTTTCTGGTTTGTATCATTTTTATCATACAAAAGAAAAAAATCCAAAAATTGCTTCTGATATTTTTAAAAATATATTGCTTGAAGAAATGCAAATTCTAATAAATGACTGTTTTCTTTTCAGGTATATCTGTTATATCCTTATTGTTCGGATTTAAATTTGTATGTGAAGAAGCAGCCACAGACCTAGAGTCTGATACTTTTTTGAGGACGAAAAGATCTTAGACTTTAATCATGTTTTATGAATGTAGGACAAATATTGTTTATTCATTAACAATACAGTATTTTGAAACAATATATTGCACATGTAAATATAAATACCTGCAGGAACATAATTTTTTTTTAAAAATCAAGTATAACGTGTGAAGAAGAAATTGTGACTGACTCAGTCAGGATTCAAACCGTTGACCCCCTGAAATCTTAATGCTCTTCCAAATGAGCTATATGGCAATCACTGAAGGAGCCCTTCCCTCCCTTTTTTAATGTCTTCACCCTTAAAGACACCAGCCCTCATTCATCCTGGGCATCTTTACTTGTCTCACTCCCAGTGCATGGTTACTAAGAGAATTAATTGACTGCATGTATCACTCTAAGTCCCATTATAAACATCAATATAAAGAAGAGACTTAATGCTTTCATTTCTTATAACAAAATTTCATTTGAAAGTTCAGGTATTGGAAAACAGGCTTTATGAAATCGCAATGTTACTGTATTTTGCAAGAAACAGGTATATTTGAGTACCTTCAGCAAAGAATTAAAATATAAGCACAACCCTTGATCCAAAAAAATGAAACATATTTATTCTTCAGAAATAGTTCCATCATTATATAATTGTACATTGTGCTCTAACAAAGTACTGGGAAATAGCTTAAGCTTTTGGCCATTTTTAAAGAAATTTTCAGGATATAATGCAATCAATTGCTATAGGGGAATGAAGAGTTTTGTTTCATGCCCCAGTATTACATGCACAACAAAACACATACCTTTATCTTGAATAAACTTCATCAAAAATGATAACATGTATTATGATTGTCCAAATGGAAGTCTCAATTTATTTCAGTGTTCCAATATGGTAACAGCCAAAAATATTGTAACAGAAATAACCCATAACATAGACAAAGACAGAAAGTATCATTATGCACAATACATAAAAGCATCACAGAAATATTTTTGTTCATAATATAGATGTTCCTAACCACAACATAGTATAAAGAATACTGTTACTTGTTTATGTTCATGGGTTTACATACTCAGTTTAACATTGCTCCAGTCCTGGAGGAATTATCACAGACATATTATGTAATATAATTTTATAGATCACCAGTACATATACATGTACATAAAATGTAAAAATAATGTTAATTTCCCTCCATAAAAGATAAAAGCAATGTGATACAAGGATACAGGGTCCTTTTTTCTGTAGCAACATTAATACTAATTTTCTTATTATACATTCGCTAGGTGATTTAAGTGCTTTCTTACTGAGTCCTAGTTCTGCCAATCCTATGCTTCTAAAATACAATCAAAATAGCCCAATTCAGCAGTGTGAAATAGACTCTTGCTTCATCCAGGCAGGTCTAAAAGACACTTCCAAACAGAGTTACTTGCCCTTTAATTTGAATTTCATTGTACTCATCAACACACAGTGCAAACATAGGTGTATAAAATGTGGTTTGCTGATTTTTATAAAGAAAGAATGCTTGTGACCAATTAATGTTGTCCTCACTATATCCACCAATATTCCCAACTTCATTTTTTTTAAGTCTTAAAATGCTAACCCTATTTATTAGAATTATGTACAGTTAACATGGAAATGTATTGGAAGATCAAAAATGAACCCATGGACAGCTTTTGGATCATTATAAATGAAATCTGTCAAAAAAATATTGGGTTGATGAATACAATATCAAAATAGTTATCCAGTGAGTTAAGAACACTGAGCTTACCAAATGATATCTTTAATCCCATAAGAGTATAATGGCAAAGTCCATGTTTTGCTATGGGAAAGCCCAAATATGTACCCTATCAAACTATAAAAAAGGATGTGCACAATAGCACTATGTGATAAAGATTCAGTGAAAATCTAATATTTAAATTTTATTTTGTGTGGTAAAGGAGGAGTTGTGGATAAGAGATGGGTTACAATTACCCCAATATTTTAGAAATGGCAGTGTCCATCTGTTGCTACGGGAAACCCTAAATATGTGTCTGATCATAACCTAAAACAGGAGATGCACAACATCAATATGTAGCAAAGATTTCATGAAAGTTTCATTAAATTACATGCAGTGATGTAAGAGGAGTTGTGGAATAGTAAACAAATATTTTTTTTTAGGTCTAAGGGGTGACTACACCTAAGTGTAACGGGCGGAAGGACAGACACCCCCATCACTATACTCTCCACTTTTCAAGCGAGGGGTATAAAGAAAATATGTGGCCTGTTATCACCTAAAAAACTGTACAAATTGTTCACCTTTAAATTTTAAGGTTACTTAGTCCAACCATAGTATCCTATAGAAGTTAGCAGCGTTGATTCTAGCTATGAAAGACAAAGCAGACATGTTGGATTTTGCATTATGATTTTAACATTGAATCTGTAAATTTTCAGACTGCATTCTGTAATTTTCATTTAAAGGGGGCTGACTTGGGATTTATTGCCTGTAAAATCTACAGTTAAAAAACTCTTCCATTTTATACCATATGTAACCTATATTGTCATCATGGCTACCTTAAAATACAGATGTCCATAATTTATTCCAAAATACCTTTGTTACTGGTATCTAAAAAAAACATCATTGAGCAAAGTTTGGGTATGGAGACTTGATTGCTAGTTATGCTCATTGTATGTTGATAATGCTAGTTATGCTTGCTGATTGGATAATGGCAGTGTTGATTGTGTGGAAGATGATGCATGCTGATGCTTATGCTAGTGATTCTAAATGCTGCTAATAATTCATATGCTTATGCTGATTCATGCAACAGAAAATTATCCTTATACTAAAGTCTTTTTGTATCTGATTCCTTATGAGTTACCGGACACCAGTTTTGAGAAAAGCGAGTTTGGATTCCGCATAAGAACTGAGGGTGTGTCAAATTCTGCCACTTTCCCATCTCTCATGACCAGTACCCGATCACTGTCCATAACAGTGTCTATTCTATGGGCAATTGTAAGCACAGTGCTGTCTTTAAATTCCTCTCGAATAGTCACCTGAATTAAGGAGTCTGTTTTCATATCAACACTTGCTGTTGCTTCATCAATACAAAGCATCTGAAAAACATACACAGATGCATATATTTCCTTTATACAGCACAAAATAAACAATAAAATTAAACTTCATTCCTGTACAAGAAAAAAATACATTTTTTGTAACAATTTTTGATAAAGTGTTAAGTTATAGGAAAATACACTCATTTACACTTTACTTGTGGCATATCAAGGAATATGAATTTTGAAGTCATCATTAAGATCCATTAAACAAAGAATTGTTTGCATACAATTTTAAGTTTTGGTTTGAAATTTTATTTATAGCTCAGAGTACATGCAAAATCTTGAATGTTAAGTACCGGTAAATGTACCTTAGTTTTAGTCAAAATGGCTCTGGCTAGACACAAAAGTTGTTTCTGTCCAACAGAAAACATTTTCCCTCTCTCCCCAACTTCTGCCCCAAGACCTCCCAGTATCTCAACAGCTGACACAAGGTGACATCTACTGAGAGAATTCCAGATCTCTTCATCTCCATAAACATTAGAAGGATCCAAGTTCTCTCTTACAGTTCCACTAAAGAGGAAGGGATCTTGTGGAATGACTGCAAATCGGCTTCTGAAAAAAATCACTCTTACAGTGTGTAAAAAAATATATCTTGCATATAACTCTCATTTGTTCAAGAGATTTTTTTAAAAAAGTTACTTCTGAAATAAAAATAATGATAATTCAAATAAGACCTATATTAAGCATTATCTGAGATAACTGCAATATCTCACACCATGCAGCGAGTTTGAAGCTACTGTAGAAGTACTTTTTTTCAGTATGGTATTTAATTACATGGTCACAAATTTTCCACAGAAATTTGTTCCAACGTATTTAAAGTACATTTATAGCATATAGTGAAAATCTAAGAAATTCTTCCCACATACTGAACAGAAATTGTGATTCTGCAGAATTTTGACTCCATGGAAAATAGTACATTTACAGTAACCTCACACCATGTAGTGAGTTTTATGCTAACCTGATTTCCTTGAGATCTAGGAACTTGATGCTCATGTTATCTACTTTGATGTCTCCCTGACGTATCTCTACAATTCTGAATAAAGCTTGAAACAGACTGGATTTGCCCGACCCAGTCCTGCCCACTATGCCCACTTTCTCACTGGGCTGAGTACAAAATGTGACTCCACGGAGTGCATCAGACAGATCATTTCTGTATCTCAGGAAAACATTCTTGAAGTGTACTACACCCATAGTGGGCCAAGATGGAGAAACCTAAGAGGAATCAAATGAAAGATTGTCATTAGATACTTTAATGATGATAAAAAACATCAACGAATGGTACAGGGTGTGTGGCTGATCGAGTACTGTAAGCATTCATATTTGTTGCATGACTGCTCCATGTTACAATGGTAGTTTCAGAAAAATATACATGTATGTACCTGATGTACAGTTTTTTTGTATATAAATTAAAGAAAATAAAAGAGAAAATTGAGTCAGTGTTTCAAAAGAAATGTTATTGCTACATTGTAACACAGCTTGATAAATCTCAATAACAAGAACCCAATTCCAGTTGATATTTTCTTTTCAAATACTAAGTGAAGTACTCATCAGTCAAAGCATAATTTAAGAAAATATTGGGCCCATGTAACAGGACAGGAGAAAAATGTGATGACCAAACCGGGATTTGAAGTCTGGACCCCTGAATTCTCTAGTCAGGTTCTCTACCAACTGAGCTATCTGTCCACTGGTGATCCTACCCATCTGACCGCCACAAATGTTATCCATCACTTACCAGCAGAGATCCCTGTAAGTTTTCTGATGGAATGTTGAGGTACTGCTGGGCTCTCTCCACACTGACCAGCTGTTTCTCTGTTTCTGTGAAGGAGCTGACCACACCACTCAGAAGATTGGTTACGGAAAGAGCGTACGATAAAGCTAGGCCAACTAAACCTATCAACAAATAAAACAAATGTAAGATAAAGCTAGGTCAACTAAACCTATCCACAAATAAAACAAACGTAAGATAAATCTAGGTCAACTAAACCTATCCACAAATAAAACAAACGTAAGATAAAGCTAGGCCAACTAAACCTATCCACAAATAAAACAAACGTAAGATAAAGCTAGGCCAACTAAACCTATCAACAAATAAAACAAACTTAAGATAAAGCTAGTTCAACTAAACCTATCCACAAATAAAACAAACGTAAGATAAAGCTAGGTCAACTAAACCTATCAACAAATAAAACAAACTTAAGATAAAGCTAGGTCAACTAAACCTATCAACAAATAAAGCAAACATAAGATAAAGCTAGGTCAACTAAACTTATCAACAAATAAAACAAATGTAAGATAAAGCTAGGTCAACTAAACTTATCCACAAATAAAACAAACGTAAGATAAAGCTAGGCAAACTAAACCTATCCACAAATAAAACAAACGTAAGATAAAGCTAGGTCAACTAAACCTATCCACAAATAAAACAAACGTAAAATAAAGCTAGGCCAACTAAAAATTCAAAATAAGATGTGGCAAGCAGGGTTTTTATTTTTTATTTCAAGAGTTATTTGGCACCAAATTTTATAATGAAAAGTCTTCTCTTTGAACATTCAAATAAATAAAACTTTTAATTTTAAAAATTTTAATGAGGTAGCATTCAGCCTAATGTAGCAGAGCCTGAGAGACAATACCATATTTCTTTTACCTAATTGATTGATGACAAATTTAATGTACTGTAACTACATGTACCTGCATTAACTGCCTGGAAGTGGTGCTGGAGAACAGAAATGAATGCAATGCCTGTAACCATGACAACACCCATCATCTGGAGTCTGAACCCCAGCCAGCTGGCCACAGCCTGTCCACTGAATTGTGCCCTCAGGTTTAGGTCTAACTTCTCAATGTTCTCCTTTCTGAATCTGATGTGATTAAAAGTCAAATTTATTGATATACGTATATGCAAATCATAATTCAAGGGCAATAAATCTTCTTTCAAGGTTGTTCCTTGAGACTTTGTCTTCATGCAGAAAGATGATTATCTAGTATTACTGGTAAACGACAAAAGTGTGTATTACAATAGCTACTGATTAAAGGATTAAGATATGACTTAAGATTACACGATTCATAATGAATGTTATCTATTAGAGAGTTCAAAATGAATCAATTATTCAGATTACATGCTACAAACCTCTCTGATTCCCTGAAAGCCCTGATTGTTGTTAGTCCGGTGACAGTTTCCGAGAAATGAGCATAAACAGGAGACAGGGAAACACTGGTAATACGTTTCACTTCTCTGGAGGTGTGTCTATAGAAATGCTGAAAACAGACAGGCGCTTAGTTAAGTACATTTATTTATTACTTTTCTACTATATTAGCATTTTCCCCTTTGTGATCATTTCTGACTTTCTTGAAGAGGTTCAATTGTGCTATTGTCTATTTCTTAAACACTTGATAAAGTATGAAAATGTTTTGTACAACGATACATTTACCATAAAAGGTATTTGTTGTATATACTGTCCCTGTCAAAAACCCAAAGTTAATCTAATATGCACTTATTTGTGGAAAATTGACAGTGAGACTCCAACAATGGTAGAGTACATGAATGAAGCATACATGTATGTTTTAGTACATGTAGTTACCTGAATTTTATAATAAACGATTCCCAGTGGTAGAAGTAGTAGTGTGAACCATGGCAGTCCATAGCAGATGACAACAACAGTTCCCAGAATTCCATACAGCTGGGCCAAAAATATGTTCAGGATGAATGGTAATGAATCGTCAATGGTGTAGAGATCTGAGGAGAACCTGTTGATGATGCGTCCAATCGGATTGGTGTCAAAAAATGAGACAGGTGCCTTTTGAATAGATAAGTATAGTACGTTCATTCACCTAAATGGAATAGTAAGTTATAGGTACTGGTAAATTACTTTTTCATACAAATTTCTTATAACATGTACATGTACATGTAAGTATGGTACTTAAAATTTGTGAGGTAATGCTAAAGAAATTTATCTGAAAGAGAAATTTGATCAAAGAATGGCATATAATTACAAATAATTAAATGTACATGTAAACCACATTTTACTTTACCTTCAACATCACAGATAAAAGTCTTTTATGTAAGAACTGTGCAGCACAGATTCCTCCATAAGCAAAAAGGAAAGCCCTCAGCAGAGTGAACAAGGAATTGGCCCCCGCCAGGGCCCCGTATACTGTCAGATAGAACTGGATGTCATCTGATGTCGAGTTTCTAAAGAAGTTAAGATATACAGTGTGTGCATGCACACTTTATACATGTATATCCATCCAAAATTTACAGAGAAACTTTAGACTGAGAATTAATAGTGCATGAACTACAACAAGCTAATATTTAATACTAATTCAAGGAAAAATACAGTTTGATTCATGACAAAACTCCAAATAAAGCTAAATCTGTAATTCATTGTGTACAATAAATATTTCATTACATTGCTCTTCTTGTTCTATATACAATGATTTTATTTTTGTCTTTAACTTCAATATTTCACATAGCATATATAAAGAACATTTGAATTACCCAGTGTCATTAGAACTACTGTGATTGGTGCTGGCAGAATCACGTGAATTAGTTACCCAATAGGACAGCCACCAGTCATTCACATTTCTTGAGGCTACAAACAGAACACCAGTATTTTGTATAATCTATATATTTCAACGTTACATTTTGACACTTTTCAGAACATGACAGAAAGAAAAACTGATCTTTGACAGAGAAGGCTCAGTCTAATGTATATTGAAATATATATTGATCTTGATTTAAGAACAGATACATAAAGTTTATATTAAATGAAAATTTCATTTTAAACATGCGTCTACATGTATTATCACCTTGCATAAGAAACAAGGCTGTGAGAATACTGGGGGCCAGACACACCCCTACAGCGGACCAGTAAGCCCTGTAAACAGACAGACGTACAACCCCTCTCTCCATTCCCTCTTCTTCCACCTGTTCAGATTCCACCTCTCCATTTTCCACCTCATCAGTTTCCACATCCTCTTCCATCTTGTGATCCTCCATTTTGTTTTCTTTCAGGAAGTCATGATCCAACACTTCTGAAGGGCTCCCTTTAAAAATACATCATCATAAAAATATATACCTTATATGGTTGTAAAAATTATACATTTTTATAGTTACTCAGGTTTTGATTTGTTTTTTTTTTATTTGTTTTGTTTTTTTCTCGGGGGGGGGGGGGGGGGGGGGGGGGGGAGTGGGGGCTTACACATTTTTTAACTTACCTCTCTATAAACAAACAGATTCTACCATATTATTCATGAATACTTGCAGAAATATCTTAATTACCTTCATGTTTTTGAAAAGTACTTGTAACTTTGTGGGATAAAACTTTTAAAATTCTGAACTGCAAAAATTACCTGTTACACTGTGTCTTCTCTTACCAATTCTGGAAATTTTCCCATCTTCCATCACCACCACTACATCAGCTGATGACAAGAATTTGACATGATGAGTGCATAGGATCCTCGTCTTCTTCCTTAACATTCCCATAATGCATTTGTCGTATAACTGCTGGGCAACATAAGCATCAACAGCAGCCAAGGGGTCATCCAGTAAATACACACCTTTATCCTACAGCATAAAACTTGGGATTTATAAGTTCTCATAACTTCCAGGTAACTGGTGTATGAAAACCTTCTAGCAAAGAGCAAGGGCCACTTAGGGCCTTTTTGGGCCCTATAAATTTCTGAAAAATTTAAACTGCATAGTTTTAGTCGACAAGGCAATAAATATCACTCGAACACTTGGTGACTGAATTTCTACTAAAAATGACATAATTTTCTTGCTAGTCAATGCATTATGACGTCATGAATTGTGTCATTATTCACATATCCCGAATATTTCTTCAAAAATGGCCAAAATATGATGCTATTTTTCAATATTTCGTATACAGCACAACCTCCAATCCAAAATGTGCAAATATATTATGAAAGAACTGCTTATTAAGATTATAAAACATACTTCAATTTTTGGATCGAGGGGTGTGCTCATATTTTAATTCTGCGTTGAAGGTTCTCAAATTCACCTGTTTTCTGCAAAATTCAAGAACATTGCAATTTCACACAACCTGTTTTCCAGTACCTGGAGTCTTTAAAGGAAACTTTTATATACAAACTGAAAGCGCCAAGTCTCTACTTTATATTGATGTTAAGAAAGGGAAATAGTGTGTTAGTGGATAAATTGGTTTATCTACAGGGCCATTTTATGCATAAAGTGAACCTAGCTCTTTTAGGACTGTTGACTCTTACATGAATGAGCCAATGCATTTCTAGTCTTGTTTACAAAAAATACCTGGTAAAGAGCTCTTGCTAAAGCCACTCTAGCTTTCTGGCCTCCACTTAAAGTCACCCCATTTTCTCCAACCATTGTTTTATCTCCAGCTGAAAAGACCTAACAAAAAGAAATTTAAGCATATTGAAAAATGCAAGATCTTTTTCAATTATTCATGGTAAAAATAGAAGAATTAGTAAAGAAAGTGGGCAGAATTACTTTTAGATCCTCAGTGAGTGCTGCTGCATCTAAAACTTTCTCATACTTTCTGTGGTCATACTGCCTCCCAAACAGAATGTTGTCTCTGATCGTGCACTGCTGTATCCAAGCTTCCTGACTGGCCAGGGCAAAGCCATCCTCCAGATTACTGATCCAGATTTGACCCCCCACTCGGTGCATTTCTGCCAGGATGGCACTAAGCAGTGAACTCTTTCCAGATCCTACTTTTCCTATCACACCTACAAACTGTCCCTGTAATGAACCACATCAATCTGCAGACACCATCTCAGGCCTCTAAGTGGCCTCTAAAATTTAGGCGCCAGCTGGTGCCGAATCAAAAATATTTAGTCGCCAATGCAAATTTTTAGTCGTCAGGCAATTTTTCGAAGGCGCCAACCTTAAAAGTTAATAGAATATAGTGACCCATGAAGGGCCTAGGAAAACATGAAATGTCCACTGCTAAAAATAATTTCCTCTTCTTTTAGATTTCTTTTTGCTTTTTCAGAAAAATTGTTAAAAATGTGAAAAAATTCTTTTAGATTTCTTTTTGCTTTTTCAGAAAAATTGTTAAAAATATGAAACTTTCAGGAATTTGACAATCGCCAAGTCAATTTAAAGTGGTCGCCATTTTGGCGACTTACGGAAAAATTTTAGTCGCCAATCAAAAATTTTAGGCGCCATGGCGACTAAATTAGTCGCCAATTAGAGCCCTGTATCTCAGATATCTACTGGAGCAGAAAGGAATAAAAGACAAGAGAGGCATGTGCTGTTTCTGAAGATACTGTAGATTCCTTATCTTACCGAGTACTTAATAAATACAATCACAGACATCAAATCGCAAGAATTTGAACTATTCATGGAATATGGACTATTTAAGAAGAGTTTTGATATGTGTTTTATCAATATAAAATTAAGTGTGAGTAATTTTATTTTCTGAGTAGTCCTTCTCACAAAATTATGAGATAATACATTCCGATGTATATTTAGTAATCTACGTATCCAGAACCCTAACTAAAAGAGTTAGAAAACAAGTTCCTTTACTGGTTATAGTTTATAAGGAAATAAATGGAATGTTTTTTGTGATAATACTTGTTTTATAAAAAAAAAAAAATTTGCCTTTTCTACTGTAAGATTTATATCATTAAGGAGCATAGCCCCATGATGATCTCTGTCATCTTCAAAATGGTTCTCAACAGACTTCACCGAGTTTTGTTTATCTGCTTCCTCTTGCCAAGAGAAAGTACCAGTTGTGATAACAAGTTCCTCTTCATCATATGGTGCATCTACAAGAAACAATTCATACAAAGTACAGACAAAGAATACCCAAAAACAATGAAATTTTATCAAGAAAAATGAAAATACAGCAAAAATGCCATTGCTTTCATTATCATGTTGCAAATAATGATACTAACCATGTATCTGGGAGTAATATTCTTCGAGATCAATGTTTTTGAGTGAGACAAATGACTGCAACCTTTTGAGGGAGACCCAAGCCTCCATTAGACCATTCAGGACCCAGGGGAAGGCATTCAGGGGACTGATCAACATCAGGAACAGAGAGAGACTGGTGAAGACCTACAGAATACAATAGAAATCAGTATAATAATTGTTTTGCTTCATTCTTTGGTGCAATAATATAGAGGTAAATCATGGGGAAGTAATTTTTTGTAAAGGTAGCATTTAAATGATGTTCTTTTTTTTGATTCAGTTAATATGGCTTTAGCAAGGACATAAATTAGAAAAAACTTAACAGTTTTCTTTTTTTTTTTTTTTTTTTTTTTTTTTGATTTTGACTGCACAAAAAATATTTGAAAAATCATCAAATATACCCATTTAACTGCATTTGTACATAATAATTATTTTATAAAGATTTCAAATCTACCTTAGCAGCAGTCAGGGTGTTTCCTAGTAATGTGTATGTGGTGAAAGTCAGAATTGATATGAGCACCGGTGTAGTGGCCCAGAAATAAACACACATTGCATCCAAATACTTCCTTCCTTTCAAACTTTTTAACTCAGCACTTCGTAACTTTTCAATTTTGGTCTGGAATGTATCTTCCCAAGCATAGTACTTGACTACACGGATACCTCTGAGAATTTCTGTCATCAGCTAAATTTTAAACAACATATTTCTTAGAATAATATTATTTTTATATGTCATACAGAATAAGTTAATGTTTCTATGAAACATTCCAAATAAAGATATGAAAAATTTTAAGTCTTAAAATAGTGTTGACTATGTTAAAAAATTAAGATTTTTTACCAAATTTCCTTTAATACATGTATTACAAGCAATACAAAGAAAAAATGCTCTAGAACACATAATCAATTACTGCAATGTTTTTCTTTATAGATTGTAATTCCACTGACCTTAACCCTTGCATCCTTTTGAAGCATCATCTCTGTACTAAGCTGCCCTATTTTGTTTGCCAGCCACTTATTAATAGGAATTAAAAGAATAGCAAACCCTAGACCTGCTAAGAAAGCCAACCCAACCTGACTATGGAGCAGATAAAGAGACACGCCCACTTGAAATGGTAGGCTCCAGAAAGCATGGAAACTAGGACAGAAATTCACAACTCTATCTGTATCGGTACTCATAAAATTAACGATTTCTCCTGTACTGAACTTTGATGAAGACACACTGCTTATCCTTAAAGCTTTCTTATACACAGTTGTTATGACAGAACATCTGATCTTTAGTCCAACCACCTGCATATTGTAATCAAACTGGGTTGAACATAGTGATCCGATGAGTGTTGAGACAAGAAGTCCTATTGCATAATACACACCATGTACTTCAGGTTCATTTTTATTCTCTACATAGGACACTAAAAAGTTAAGGAGTAAAGGACCTGCAAATCCAGCAAGATCAGCGAACAGCTTTAAAATTCCCAGAGAGTAGTATTCCCATCCAAATGCACTATTCAGCGCTTTCAGTAAAGTTCTCCTGTAATTTTTGGTTTTTATTTTTACATCTGGTATCCTACAACTTTCATCCATGGATTTTCTCTGAGAGTTACTTTTACACTTTTCTGAGACAGCGGAATTAGAGATGAGTTCTAATGTTAGGCCAAATTTATTTTCTATACTATTTGTATTAAGTCTTCTAGGTAATGCGAAGAGATCGTTGGCAGTTGATATATCATGTTGAGCTCCCTTTACCATTAATGGGTTCACCCAGTGAAAGGTCAGTCTAGATAACCAGGATTTGTTATCCTCTCCTTCAAGGGGACTAAGGTCATGTCTAATTGCACCATATGTTGTTCTAGAACTATTAAATAATGACTCTTCTTCTGATTCGTTTATGTTTAAACTGTGACTAAGTAATTGCACATTGATCCCTTGTTGAGTATTAGGCAGTAACGAAATTATATACACACAGTGTAAACCAAAATTCACAAATAAGCACACACATAAATAAGGATTAAAATATTCTGATCTATGAATCCATAGAAGAATAGCAGTATGTAGCATAAAACAAGCAGATATAAATGTTAAAATGTATGACAAAATATTCAATAAAGGCCCTCTATATGTTCCCAATATTAAATACTTCAACTTCCAAATGTAAAAGGAGTGGATAAACCAACAAATGCAAACAGCACCAGAAGTAACAATATCTATGGCACTAAGTGAAAATTCTAACATTATTTTTGTCAATAGTGGAGCTGCAAATGCTGTTAGCATAAGGCCTATAGTACATAACAGCCTCAGCTTCAAAAAGACAGGAAAAGGGTACACATAACTGCTAATGCCTGTGCCTCTGGTGCTTGATAAATGGTAGACAGTGATTGCCAACAGGATGACATGAGGAGGAAATACAACAACCAACTCTTCAAAACAGAACCCCAAATCTTGTCCATTCCAAGCTGATATGTTCCCGTGTGGTCTGCAAAGTGTCTTCCAAAAGTCAGCCATGTCTGAGGTTGTATTGATCAAGTCATCCAAGGTAAAAAATGAATCCACAACAACAGTTGTCAAATACTGATCTACTACAAATAAAGTTCAAAATAATTTTTCAAGGATATGATTTATACCTATTATATTTTATTAAGTCTACATAACATGAAGTGCCACATTTTCAAAATATGATCTTTTTCTGTTCTAAAACTTTTAACTTTTTGCTGACAAATTATTTTTTTTAAGATACGCAGCTGATACATCTGCAACATCTGAGTGTACGTAGTCTCAAGCTGATGTTGCTTTTTTTTAAGTTTGACGTACTTGTGCATTCTTCTCAAAACTCTTAAAAAATCAACTGCTCCTTGTGTAGCTCAGTATGATTAAGAAACAGGCTCCATTCTTGACATACGGCTAGTAAATCATCACTGCAATCATATGCATCGACAGCACGGTAGCACCAACATGTCACATATTTTGCTCGGGATCGGAAAACCACGACCAAGGAAGCTAAAATGTCGAAAAGATCCGAGAGATGTCTATTACAAGTGATTGTTTTGAAAGCACGAATTACTGTACATTTAAATTAACTTATCTCTGTTGATTTCTGATTATCTAGACGTTCAGGCATTCAAATATGTCAAAATATATCATACAACAATTTATATACATTAAAGACGTACAACACACTGGGGGAGAAAACCCTTGGGATTTCACACAGGGGCTTGCTCCCGGCGTGTAATAATTATTTATTAAAAAAAAATCATATACGGTAATACTAAAACAAGTTTTAGTATTACCGTATATGATTTTTTTTAAAATAAATAATTATTACACGCCGGGAGCAAGCCCGTGTGGGATTTCAATAAAACGTTTAACATAACGTTAAATTTGACGTTAATTACGAAGCGTCAAAATGAAGAGCGATACGATCCCGAAAAAAATAGAACAGGGGTTTTTATTGCGGTTTCTTTAGGAATACCAAATCCTATCCTTGATCATTTGCGCAATTGCAATAAATCTTCACGTACCCTCCATAAAAAAGGAAAAAAAAACAGGTTCCTCAAACTTCTTTAATTTAAATTTAGTTAATTAATTCTTTAATATTGTATTTATGATATACACAAAGGCAATGTTTTAATCTAAAATGTTAATGCTACTCTACATTGCTTTTTCCCGTTACAATCGGCCGCATAACATTGAGAATAAATATTATCGGCATGTCTAAATATTATCATATTACGAAAATAAACAATTTCTTGCTTTTCTTTTCTTTGGAAAAAAAAATTAAAAAGAGTAACGTTTTCAGAAGGTCACTGATCAAAGAAAAACAACTCTAAAAATGTAGAGGTGTATGTCTTTCCTCCCCTTAGCTGAGTTATTCCTCCTGTTTTCCGAAGAATTAGCCTATGGGTTTTTTCCCTTACATTACATTTACAGTGTGTTGCAAGGAACACAAGAACTGAAAGCCAAAGATTATACAAATTAAAGTAAGTATCAACAGTGAAAAAATATTTATTGAAATTAATGCAACGGTTGCACCCCATTGAGAAAATCTTTTACTTTTAACTTTTAAATGTTTGGTGCTAGGGCTTTCATATTTCACACGTTTATTCATTGGACAAGATCTTTCTTTCCGACCTTCTTTTCCAGAAAGTTTTCCAAACATTCTTTTGATAGGTTAAAACTTGGGATTTCATATTTCATGCGTATTCCATGTATCCAGACCTTTCTTTGGGTACTCGTTGTTTTTCTATATTCTATACATGAATTTATCTATTATGTGTATATAATTTAATTCTAGTTATAACGCAGTATTTGATTGGATAAAAAATTTACTTTATATCGTATAAATTGGGTTGCCTTCGTCACAATGACTTGGGTAAAAAACGTATCGATCCGCCTGACGTTACATTTGAATTTTGAACAATTTGAAGTCCATTTTTAAGGGCAATCATCTTTTTACTTAAACTAAATGAATGAAAATTAAATTATAAGGAATGAATTATAATAGGTACCCATTTTATACGGTATAAAGTGGGTTGGAACAGTTTACGCTTTTTTATAAACCGCTTCGCAGTTTATAAACGTAAACTGTTCCAACCAACTTTATACCGTATAAAATGGGTATACCTATTAAATTAATTCCTTAAGTACTTTTTGGCCAAATCGTTGAAAAATTACATCGTTCGGAAAACACAAGAAATAATCAACAAAAAGAAGGGAGAAACACCTCTCCTACATTTTAGAGTTGTTCCTCTTTGATCATGACTTGATGAAAATAGAATCTATAAATGGAAAACATAGTTTTTATAAAAGACAGACAAAATAATAATTATCTGCATAATTATAAGAAAGACTAGTAATATGAACATATGTTATATATAGTTAGCCAATTTTAACTCGGAAAGCAGCTGCGTACCATAGAGATAAAAAAGAAATATGCCGTGGTATGTTCACAAATTCAATTTGTAGAATTATCAAAATTTAAGGGATAATATTTCTTTCTTTTTTTCATGTGTGTGTGTTTGGAGGGGGAGGGGGTTAATGCAAGTAATCAACGACCCCAATTCCATTTTCCTTTCAAATACATCAAGATCGCTTGTCATTTTGACGCTTAAAAATTGACGTCAAATTTGACGTTATGTAAAATGCTGGACGGAAATCGCAATTGGTTTATCTCCACCATTGAGTTGTACATCTTTAAATTAAAGTATTACAGTATTTTTCAATTTAATTGATTAATAGATATATTTAACATGGCCGTACATGTAGGAACCGGGGGGGGGGGCGGTTTTGCCGACATATAGAGTACTATAGAAAAAATAGATACTATATGCTTGTGCCCCCTCAATGAAAATGCCTGATGACCTTTTTTTCTTTTCTTTTTTTTTTAATTGTCAAGGAATTTTTGGTAGTTGATAGTGTCCCTTCAACTGAAAATGTATGGCTGTGCCCCCCCCCCCCCCCAACTGAAATTGCTTCTTACGGGCCTGTTTAAAGTTATCAACCTCCTGCATGCTGTATGGAATTTTTTGCATGGCAATAACATTTAAGTTTATTAGACCTTTAAATTGCTTTAGAGGAAACAAGTCCGATGCTAGAAGTCTTGAATAAAACATATAGCATATGACAAAGACTAGATTGCATTATATTGCTGTAGTACCACCATGACAGTATACACTATTATCTACTGTTTTAGAAGGGACACTTTACAAATTATCAGTGGAAGGGTTGTCAGGGCGCAGAGGGTGACATCCCTACTCTGAGCTGATGTTGTGATGTCTTCCATAATAGTTTTTCCAACTTTGATAAAATAAAGTAAAAAAAAATATCGGGCAAACCTCGTGTGTTCTAATGTTTGTCTCAGTTGTCTTAAGGTACTTTGAAAATATGTTAAAAGACAAGGTTGATCATACCGTTGGAATTTATTGGTAACCGATTCCGCACGTGAATTAGATTCATTTTACCGCTACAGATTTTTTCCTTATATAAAATTAGATCGTTAGATGTGAATGAACCCGTTTTACCGTGCGTTAATCAACTGAGCTAATCCCTGTTTCGTAAACTAATTCCCGGTTATTCTTAATCCTCTAGATTTTACTTTCGTATCGGTATAATATACAGTTATATTCCCTCAACAATGACGCCTGTGTCCTTTTTAATTACTTGTCAAGGGATATCTGTTGAGTTGTGACGCCACCCCCCCCCCCAAAAAAAAAGGAAAATTGCTTCCTTGCCTAGGATCTACTGTTTTTACATAGCGTAAAATGACTTTTATCTGGTGTTACATATAGGCCTTTAGCCCCCCCCCCCTTCCCCCTTGTTATCATAAGATGTGCATAATAAAGCTATTAAGATAATAAAATAAGCAATATCATATAGGCAGTTGGTAGTAAGCAGTTGGCTGTCGTATATGGAATTCCATAAACTTGTTTCAAAAACGTGAATAACCTATTTCTTTCTTTTGGGGATGGGGATTAGCCGCTCCTTCTTTAGCTTCACATTTGACTTTTCCTACCAACTTACATGTAATAAGCTCTGCGTTTTCCGGTGCGTGTGTGTCCTTTTTGTTGCTTTAGTAATATAATATACATTTACAACTCTGCAATTTCCGGGGGGTGGGGTGGGGGGGGGTATGAAAGTGACAATGAAAGCTCCGAAGAGAGGAAAAATATGCACGGACTTCCCCCCCCCCTTTCGAAATAGCTTTTGCGGGTTTTTGGAAAGGAGTTGACCTTGTTTTTGTTTTTGTTTTGTTTTGTTTTTCGTTTTTTTAAAATAATAAATTTCTGGATCGAATTTTTTTTTAAGAAGTTAGCCCCATCTGGAAAAATTCATGAGATCATTAATCTTAATTATATATTAGTTTAGGTCACTGCTTACAAATGCTTTCCTTTTCCACATTTATGTTATAAATAGAATATATAGGTTATAGAACCTTGTTTTTCATTGGATGCACTTTGATCTTTGGTCACGTGTTTATTTTGGTGGGAATTTTCTGCTTGTTCTTTTGTTCGTATTGCCGCCTTGTGAGTTGCCCTGCTGAATGTCTGTGTGAGGTGTATCCGTTGAATCATTTGATGTGTTCTAAATAATACAGGGATTTTCATTAATTCTAAACCTAGGTAAGTCGTCTCTATATGTATTTTATTCGATGTTATAGCGCGTTTGACAGTTTTGTATGTGGTTAATTTGATATACAGAGTTAATCAGTAATATGAATTAACACAAAACGTTTTTCACTGATTTTTCGGTTTAACAGATATATACGCCCTGGATGATGTGGTGATAGGGGAAATCGCCAGTGGACAGTCCTCACTTTGAAGGTCTTCATTCGAATGGTGGTCTGTGTAGGAATGCTTCTCTGCATCCTAGTGTCTTCAACAGGTAACATTCCATGGAAATGCAAGATAATTACAAAATAGTTTCTTAGCCTTAAAACTTTGAACTATATTAGTAATTCTGAAGCAGTTACTTACTGAAATATGAAGTCAACAAACAGTAACTGAGATAATAATACAATTGAACTCTGTTTAAGAGGTCCATTACCTGATTACAATCATTAGATTTAGCTACACCAG